GGTCCTGCAAACACATAGTACAATAACAACAACAAAAAGTAACCAGTACAGTACAACAAAAAAATAACAACAGTTGAAACTTTGGTGGAAAACTATCCCCCGCTGGACACCAACCTGGTACTTCTGAGTCAAGGTTTCGGGGCCAGGAATTACGGCTCAAGGTTATGCTTAACTACAACTTAACCACAATATGGTAAAAACTATCCCCTGTCGGACACCAACCCGGTATATCTGAGTAAAGGTTTCGAAGTCGGGATTACCAGGTAGGACAAATACTGTACAATTACTTAAATAGATAAAAATGGTAGAAACTATCCCCCGCCGGACACCATCCCGGTATTTCTGAGTCAAGGTTTCGGGGCTGTCACAACTTTTATCTTAAATACAAACCTAACTAAACAATGGTAAAAACTATCCCCTGCCGGACACCATCCCGGTACTTCTAAGTCCAAGTTTCGTGGCCGGAATTAAATGTTAAAAGTATAGACCAAGAAAATATAAAAGGAAATGAATTGTGATAATCAGAAAAAGTATTTCTTATAAGTAATTTTGAATAAATTAAGAGATTGACATTATCCGACTATCGACAAGGATTAAAGAACTGCTTTAAAATAGTAAATTACGGTACAGTATATATAATATGAAATTGGATATAAAGTAGTGCAATCATTAAAAAAAATCTATAACTATAGTTACATGAAATTCAACTGCTAAAAAGGTTATATTAAATGCTACAGGAGGCCAGTAATTGTATTATACACAGGAACGCACATCGTGTTGGACACAGAACGCGTATCGCGTTGGACACAAAATGGCTTCTAAATTTTCAATGCCGCAAAACTTCTATCTACGGCTCTGATCAATGTACCTGACGGATATTTAATTCTGTTCAACCATAAAGCCCCTGTGGTCTAATGATTATGACTTTCACCTTGACAGCAAGAGGTCACAGTTTCGAATCCCGTTGGAGACATTTTATTACACAATGCATATATTTATAGGTTTAGGACAGCATTCGTTGAGGGCTATGCTACATGATGCACGGTCATGTCCTTTATTCAAACACTGTATTTACTCTGTCTCTTATACACATCAGATGT